CAAGGACTTTGTGAAGGATTACGTCACAGAGTGCCCCACCTGTCAGGAGGTGAGCAGTGCGAACCACTTGCGTTATAGTTTGCTCCAACCTCTTCCTATCCCTGAGGGTCGTTGGCAGTCCATCTCGATGGACTTTACCGGTCCTCTTCGTCCTCCGACACCCCACGGTCATAATGTTATCCTGGTTGTCGTCGACCGCTTCACGAAGCGTGCACGCTTTGTTTCGTGCCGCTATGCCATCAGTGCACGTGAGGTCGCCGACCTCGTGTTTAACCAAGTCATGCGTGACCACGTTTTATCTCTGAGCATCATACTGACCGTGACCCGCACTTTACCAACCGATTCTGGCGACGACATCACGAGGTTTACGGCACCTAGCTCCGCTTCTCCTCGTCTTACCATCCCCAGACTGATGGTCAGACCGAGGTCACAAACAGGACTCTCCGAAAGATTGTTCGTGACGACCAGCAGTGGGATCTCCATCTTGCCCACGCGGAAATAGTCTACAACCACGCCATCTCGCCAGCCACTGGGATGTCACCTTACTATTGCGACATCGGTCCTCGTGTTTCCACGGACTTCCTTCGCCCGTCACAGATGCACCCCGATACGAATGTCCCGCGCTGGATGATTGGGTTGCACACATGACGTCGATCATGAAGACCGCACATGAGCACATAGCCGCTTCCCAGACTCGCATGGCAGCACGTGCGAACCGATCGAGGATGGATCATCCATTCAAAGTCGGTGACGATGTGCTTATTGACGCCCGCTACTTACAGCTCGAAGCGGACACGCTTCGCAAGTTTCGGCGTCACTTCTTTGGCTCATGTCGCATTCTCCGTTCTGATACGGCTTCTAGCCCGATCAACTTCCGTGTGAAGCTGCCCGACTACCTACGCTAGGCTCGTGTGCATGATGTTCACCGCGTCTCGTTATTGCGTCCTTACCGCAGACCGTCTGAGCGTTTCGTTGGACGACCATACGAGCGTCCTCCACCCATCATGGTGGACGGCCACGAGGAGTTCCTTGTTTCATACATCATTGGTCGCCGAGGCACCGACGACAACCCTCCTCACGTCGAGTATCTCGTACGTTGGAAGGGTTACCCTGCTGAGGAGGCTACTTGGGAGCCCCTCGAGCACTTGCAGCACGCTCGCATGTTGATGCGTGGCTATGATCGAGCTCGTCGTGTTGGGTTGACTGCTCCTCCTCAGCCCACTGACCATCCTCCTTCTCCATCGGTTGAGGAGACCTCTGAAGTCGAGCCTGCCCCATCTGAGGCAGACCTTCATTAGCAGCCGGATGCTTCTGAGCGTCCACAACGCACTCATCATCGTCCTGCTCGATACGACAATTGACTCTGACTTATCTTCCCACGTCCTTGACTTCTCCGTACTCCATCCATTCCAGTTTTTCCACTTCATCTCGTCGACGTTGAGGCTCTTCCTCGACGGCATTTCGGATTTCTCATCATGGACATCATCGGCAGCTTCATGGACTTCATCACGATCAGCTCTGCCTACTTCAGACGTCATCACCCTCTGACCACTTTGCCCTGTACAGTACCCTGCTTGTGTCGCATGATGGTCTCCCTTCGTCGGGTTCCTCTGAGTAGGACTCTTCCTTGGTCTATGCATAGGCATCAGGACCGTAGCGTTGCCCTGGCTTCCCAGCTTATGGATCCAACTCCGACTTCCCTCACTTTATGAGTCATTTGCGTGATTCCCTTACCCATCACCTTTCTACCCTTTGTCGGCCCTCACGCCCTAGTTAGGCAGCCTCGCATGCTTCATCTAGGTGCGCCCAGTATACCAGGCTCCCTTGTTCCCTTGCATGGTCGACCATCCATAGCAGTCACCCCTTTAGTCGAGCATTACCCGCCCTGATGGTCTATCTGTTAGGGTCATTGGTTTTTTTCGCTCCCAGTTCCCTACCCTCATTGAGCCTGATGACATATGTCTCCCTGTCATTTTGTGTGGATGCCCTTAGGAGTTATCGCCCCCTGGGCTGCATTCGCCACCCTCAGAGACCATCCCACCCTTTGGTTCGCGAGACACTCCTCTTGTGACATATGGTTGTCTTGTTGTTGCTTTGTTGCTCTCAGACTGAGGCCACTGCCTCTGACATTTCTATGATTTAGTTGTTCTGCTTTTGCTGTTCTTAGGACTTATACATTAGTTAGTTGTTTCTAGACTAAGGCTACTGCCTCCAACATTCTAGGACCTAGTTGTCATTATTTTCTGCATTCCTAGAACATGTATGCTAGTTAGTTGCTTCTGCTTTCACTTAGGCTGTTAGCTGTGACATTGTTGTTTTTTGTGACATTTCCTATCCTAGGTTGCATCGCATGGACTCAGCATGGAGCTTGCTCCACATCCTAGACTACTCAGGTTTGCTTTTTCTTTGGTAGAGTTCCGCTTCTTGGCGGAAGCGTGCTTGTATCTAGGCGATCCATCACAGACCGAGGATCGTGTAGCGGACGTCTGGTTGGCCTGTGAGACCAGCCCCTTGGCCTGTTCTCACAGGCCTGTGTTGTATTCAGGGCAGTCCAGTCCAGGCCGGTACCTATGTCGGTACCAGCCAGTCCAGTCCAGTCCCGTCAGTCCGCTGGGGTATACCCCAGCTGTTATCTGTTTTTCGATTCCTTCTACATTCGCACACTGTGGAGTACGTGCGTTGGAGTCTGGCGTGGGAGCTGCGCTGTGCCATCTCGCTCCCCCCTTCTCCCTCCATCTCCATCTCTATCCCCGGCGGAGCACCACACCTGGTGGGTCCGCCACTCTCTCTCTCTCTCTCTCTCTCTCTCTCTC